TGGATTTTTGAGACCTGACCGTATGGAAGTTATTTGAATATCATCAATTGTCTCGTGAGGGTGTTCCCTCGACCTCAAACTAGTCTACTTCACCATGTCACAAATTGATAAAAAATACCTCGTCGAAAAATGAAGAGACACTCATATTTTGACCAACTTGACTCATTTCAACATCCTGGGTGTAAACCTGTCCGCCGTATTGTTGATACTGTTTTTGTCCCTAGTGAATATGTTAAAAAAAAACCAATGAAAGACGGAAACAGTTGAAAAACCTGAAAGAAATAATAACGTCCTTCCTCCCTCGTAATAATAATAATAATAATAATAAAAGCTCTTGAACTGAGCACACATTTACCCCCCCATAGTCTCCAGCATTGTATCTGCTCATGTTCTATTTTTTTCTATTTATAAAGCCCTGAGAGCTTGCAAAATATTTTAAGAAAAGAATGAAAGGGTTTGTGAAGAATAAGGGTGTCGAGGAGGGTCGAAGGAGAAGGAAAGTTATGTTAGGGTAAAGTGCATCAAATGCAAAAAAGGAAAAAAGATATAAAAATTAATATCTTTCATTACGTATGTATGTACAAACAATTTAATAAACAATTTGTGTGAACGTAATGTAATGATCAGAGACCATACAGTGGAGAGGGTAATTGTAGTAGTGTATGCAATGACTACATAATTTAATTAGAATGATTTATTCTTACCCGATAGGTGGTACCAAATTCGATGTTAATTTGGTGCTACTGTAAATTACCAAACATGGGTAACGATATTTGTCGGTCATGCAAGATGTTAGCAAGTTTCTGCAGCACGCGGCAGTATCGATGAATTCAAATATACATTTGGTTAATATAAAAAAAATTACGGTAGGGGATTTGATTGGTGAAACATTCAAACCAATCTCTTTTCTCCTGTCCCACCCCTTGCTCGATATGATATCAAGGATATTGAAAAAAGTCGTTGTTTTTGACGCGTTCCCAAAAGTCGATGCTGGTTATCAGGATAAAAGCCCACAAGGTGGGTTCATAACAATAGTGGTGACAATATTGTTATGGTTCTTGATAATCAGTGAATTTCGGGAGTATTTGAATTTGAATCAAAAGTATCAATTCTCGGTGGACCAAAATATTTATCATCAATTACAAATAAACGTCGACATCACTGTAAATACCCCGTGTAATCGTGAGTAAGACCTTATTTTTTTTTTCTTCAATTTCTTTCCCATCGAATTAATTGCATTGTCTTCATTGTAATCTTAACAGTTATAACGGTGGATGTGGTTGACGTGGCCGGGGAAAGAATTCATGTGACCGATAAATTAAAAGTCGTTCCGGTAATTTGTTTTTTTTCATTGCAATCGAAATTTCTTCATTTTTTTCTTTACCTTTTTTTTTTTGTCTACTTTTCTCGTTTAGACAGTCTTTAAAGTTGGATCGGCACACCGTCTAGGGTAACATCGGATTTTTTTTTTAAACTATGTTTCAGAATTGATTCGATACTGATCTGCCGGTTTCAAATTTTGCAAGCACAGAGATGAAACAGTTGATGTTCGACCAGATATTTGGAAGATGTTAGTTGAGGCCAAATCAAGAGCGACTTTTTCTGACTCCAATGATAACACCAATGGTAGATCATACTTGTCTTTTTTCATTCTCCAATTTTTCCAGATTCTTTGATATGAAAATAATAAATAGTAACATTTTCGACGTCATGCAGATAGTGGGCTAAGTGCGTGCAGGGTCTTTGGATATTTTGACGTGAACAAGGTCACCGGGAATTTGCACATTACATCGATTGGTCTTGGATACGGTGGATATTCTCTCCAAAATCTTCACGGTATGCAATTGACTTCCTAGTATTCGATGTTTTGATGTTCTCGCTAATTTTGTTCATGTCAACAAACAGCATTAAATTTCACCCATCGAATTGATGAGTTCTCATTTGGGACATTTTACCCAAGTCTTGTGAATCCGCTAGATAATAGCATTGAGATATCTGAAACAAGTATGCTTGAGCCAATATTTTATCAATAATCTCTTTTATTTCAACAATTAATTTAATTGACATCCTATTTTCTTCTTCTTAATAAAGACATGGAAACTTTTAAATATTTCTTGTCGGTTGTAAGTTTGATTTTTTATTAATGGACCAAAAACTCGATCAACTGGTTTATTGAGCAAATCAATGATTTTAATTGAATTTTTTTTTTTTTTGTGAATTCGTCTCGTCATATTACCTGCAATTACAGGTCCCTACCACTTACATAGACAACAACAACAGAGTATTGTTGACAAGCCAATACTCGGTTACAGAATATTCCAAGTCATACGATGTCTCTAAAGGTCAATTTGGGATTCCAGGTACGCCCTGATTCACAAGATTTACTATGATAATGCGTGAATAAAAGCGTAATTTTCCCTTCGCACGCGTACTTCAACGACAGGAATATTCTTTAAGTACGACATAGAACCAATCTCCGTGCAAATCACCGAAAAAGGCCCGGGATTCATAAAATTCATGACTCGATTGTGCGGGTTGGTAGGAGGAATATGGGTGACCATAGGATTCTTGGTGAAATTCTCCAACGGGATATGGGATTTTTTGGATTATATTACAAGAGGTAGAGCGAATACACATGAAATTAACAGTATACGCGAGAAGAAAGATGACGTGAATTTTAATGGGAGTATCAATGGTGAAGGTTTCAATTTCAATGGCGTCGTGCAGCAGTCAATTCCACAGCCACTGCAACATCCGCAGCCACACCCTCATCAGCCATTAGATGTAAAATATAACATTTCGGGGATGTACCCTCCTGAGCGTAAAGTTGCTACAGATTAAGGAAATTTCTGATTGCATGTTTGAGACGTTGTACATGTACAACTAGAGTTCCTCTGCATGTTGTATATAGCAAATAATTAACTAGCTAACGTGTTTCTATAAATTTTGGTGTATTTATTATTTTATCATATATAATATCTAATTTATAGTTATGCTTTCTTCATTTGTGGTGTAACCCTTAATAAAGTCTTTCTCTTTATTATCAGATAAAATCTCACAAGTACATCATTTAGGAATGATGCCATCTTTCTGATATGATTAGTTGATCTTGTAAGAAATTGTTCAAAAGGAAGAAGTTTTAAGCTAAAGCATTGATCATGTTTAAATGAGTAACGACTTTAATATTGATTCATAAATTATAATGGGAAATGATATTTATAATTATACCTGAATCCCGTGCATTTTCTTGATATCCTCCCCCAGCAACTCATTTACCATTCGATGCTGCTTTATAATTGGAAGGCCTTT